CTAATATTGTTGAGAGATGACTACATGCTTCCCAAAGAGAAACTACTGTGTTCAACCAGAAAGATCAAGTTTATTTTTCTCATGGACTTTACACTAGTAGTACATGACAGATGAGACACAGACAAAAGTAAACAAATGTGGCCAGTTTGTAAAGGAGTTGATACCTGCCCTGGCATCTTAGCAGACCCAGAAAAAGGAACTCAAAATACGAAGTTGCTGGTGCAGACAGGAGACTGGTGGGTCTGAGGAACAGAAAAACAGCATGGTTGAAAGGTGATGCATGGGTCACAGGGTCTTTATTGTCAAGGAATAATCTTTGGTTAGGAACAAATATTCTAGCCCAAGGCCTAAGGTAAGAGAACATAGTGAGTGAAGTATTAATATTCAGCCACAGTGTGGTATACATTCCAGGCAATACAGTAAAGAAATTGTGAAAATAGAAATCACACTGTACTGTGATTCAGGGGATGCAACCATTATATGCAGTAGATTTGGCACTGTGGAGTTAGCAATAAGTCAGACCCAGGTGCTGGAAGGAAATTGGGAGACAGATGTTAATCTCCTCGATGACAGCACTTCAGAGAGAGTAGGAGCAGGTTTGTTATAGGTTGGCATATAAAGTTGAAAAGACTGGAGGAGGACATATGTATTAGACAGGGCTTTGCAGAGAAATAGAATGTGTGTGTGTGTGTCTAGAGCGATAAGGAATTGGCTCACACAACTGTGGAGAACAGTGAGTCCAGGAGTGACAGGGAAAAGCTGTTATTACAGTTAGTCTGTATAATTCAGCTTCCCATCATTATAAGGAAATGCTTGAGTTAATCAATTTATAAAGAGAAAAGCTTTATTTTGGCTCACAGCTTTGGAGGGTCCAGGCCATGATTAGCTACAGCAATTGCTTTGGGTAGTTAATAGCCAGGTAGCACATCATGGTGGAAGAGTAAAACTGTATACTTCATGGCCAGGAAGGAGAGAGAGAGAGAGAGAGAGAGAGAGAGAGAGAGAGAGAGAGAGACAGAGACAGACAGAGACAGAGACAGAGACAGAGACAGAGAGACAGAGAGGGACAAAGACAGACAGAGAGACACAGAGAGACAGAGACAGAGAGACAGAGACACAGAGAGAGACAGAGAGACAGAGACAGAGAGACAGAGAAAGAGAGAGAGACAGAGAGAAAAGAGAGAGAGGAGAGAGGTGAGACCTTGTAAAAAGTCCTTGAGTCCCTGGAAGTGTGCTCTCCAAGAAAACTGTGGGACTCCAGATCTCTCTCTCTCTCTCTCTCTCTCTCTCTCTCTCTCTCTCTTTCCCTTTCTCTCTCTCTCTCTCTCTCTCTCTCTCTCTCTCTCTCTCTCTCTCCTTGTCTCCTCTCACCTCCTGGAGGATCTACCATGTCCCTGAAATACCACACTGAGGAAAAAGCTTTAATACATGGGCTTTTGGGGAACATTTAAAATCCATACTAAAGGCAGTTTAGAGGCAGAAGTCTCTCTCCTTTGATGGATTCCCTCTTCACAGTTTGGTTTTTCTTTTAATTTCCTCAAATTCTACTGATTTAAGTGAATTTCTCATCTTCAGCAAAGACTACAGCAACATGTAGAATAGTGTTTGACCTGATATCTGCCCATCACAAGTTTGCCAAGTCATCTCATGAAATTAACCTTTGTAGTATATTTTTAGGTAGCACCAATAGATTTTGCTATTGTCCTGAAAAGTGTGGGAAAATGGAAAATCCAGGATGATACCTATGTTTTGGGTATACCAAGCTAGATGGATGAGAAAGAGAAGACTTCCATCACGCTTAAAGTTGAAAGGAACTACAGATGAAAATTAGGCATGTAAAATAAAAGTCCTGTAGGTATAAACCCTCTAAGGAAGCAACATTATTTGTGTACAGACTTTTCTATGCCTTACCTTAAATGGTTGGTTACCACTCAGTTGGTCAGCCAGTATGTGCTGTTGGTCTGCATGGTGGTACACACCTGTTCTAATACCAGTACTCAGGAGGTTGAGGCAGGAAAATCACAAATTTGAGCCCAGCATGGGCAATCTAGGAAGGTCCTGTTTAAAAAAAAAGACTGGGAATATAGTTCAGTAGTAGAAGGTGACACAAACACTCAGTGTTTGCTGTTCAACAGTACAATCAATGCAGTTGAACTGTGAAGGGAAAGATATATTTACTATTAACAATGAGATGTTATTGAGCAAAGCTATCTGGAAGATGGAAAACAAGTCCAGAAAGGAAAACAGCAAGTGAAATAGCCAAAATGAATTAACTGACAGAAGTTTCAGGACTCATTACCTTTTTAGTGGGGACTAAATTTATATTCATATGTGGTACATGACTCTAGTTTTAAAAAAATCTACAAAAATTTCCTATCTCCTGTGTTTTATTATGAGTCAAGCACTGTACTGTTGAAATTTTAATTTTATTGCCAAGGCACAAAATTCCTCATTTAGTCACACAAGGGCATGGGCAGCAAGCAAATGGGGTCAAGCGAGGCAGAGTCCAGCTAGACAGGCGATTCAGTCAGGTATGGCAAGTTCGGGTGACAGATGTCAACCCCGGCAATGCCAACAGAAGCAGGTGTTCTGGATCCAGGCTTTATTGCGTCCCAATTCCAAGAAATCAAATGCACACACATGAGTAACAGCTGAGGCAGCCAGGCAGCCATTCAATGGAGCACAGACTTAGGATCCCAGGTAGCAAAGAGGCAGAGGTCTCCAAAAGTGTAGCCGGAGGGAGACAGAGGAGCATGCAGGGAGAAAGTGACCTCTTCCAGCTATGAGTCAGGCTTAGATTCTGGGTGGTGTGGATCCCACTGTGGTATCGAGAACAGCAAACAGAACCCAGGCCAGAAAAAAACTCTTACAACACAGGAGAACCTTCCTCGTGGCACTTTTCTTGGTTTTATTTCACTGGAATGATTTGGTTAAAAATAGGTTTATTCAGACCCTCAAAATCTGCAATGTTATCAGCTCTTTTGAGAGAACTATGCAGTGGTGGTGTACATCTGTAATCCCAGCGCATGAGAGGCTGAGGCAGGAGGATCACTGAGAGTATGAGGCCAGCCTGGGCTACACAGTAAGTTCAAGGCCATCCCGCATTACATAATGAGACCTTGTCTTAAAAAGCAAAACAACAACAAAAATGAAAAATAAGTTGAAAGAATTTAGGAAAACTTCAGAAGACTATAATTTATATGCATCCTCTAAAATTAAAAAAAATTTCATTTGTTTTGTTGTTGTTGTTTTTTTTTGTACCAGGGATTGAACTCATTACCTCATGCTTACTAGGCAGGCGCTTATGCTACTGAGCTAAATCCCTGCCCCATTTGTGTATTCTTTAAAAAAAATATAAAAAGAAAAATGTTGACATGAATTCAACTTTGATTTAAAGAAAAAAATATGCTTACTGAGTCCTTTTTTTCTTTCCCTTTCTGAGAGGAAGTCTCATTTTGCCAGTTGGCAGTTATGTACTCTAATAGAAGCCATCCATATATATTTACTTATCACCAGTTCCAAATTACAAGCATAAAAATTGTTGTTTCAAAAGCTGTGATGATTGGTGTGACTTTGTTATAAGTCATGGGATTGAAGAGGGTTGGAGCTCTAATTTTGTTCTTTGATCAAAGTTGTTTAGAGTGTATTTCTACAGAAATGGAAGAATAAAAATGTTAATTTTTATGAAAAATGATGGCATTTTGAAAAGGGATTGTGTTTTCTGATCTTTATTATTTTCTTCTATGTGTTTTTTGTTTTTTTCTGTCTTTCATTTCTAATTTCTTAAGGAAAGATATGAGGATATTTCATAACTTTCTTCTTTTCTAATAAATGTACTTGGTGAAAAAAAGTCATGCTTCTAAATGTCTCCAGTGATATAAAAATTACATTTATTTGTCCTTTATTGAAAACCAGAAATAATTATTAAATATACTTTTGTATCCTTTTAGTCTATAAAGGTTAGATTGAATATGCCAATAAAATGAAAGTTAACATACTATATTAGACATTTTAGATAGTAAGTCATTTTTTTTTTTTTTTTTTTTTTGGTAGCAGAGATCAAACTCGCGACCTTGTGCTTACCAAGCAGGCGCTTACACCACTGAACTAAATCCTTGGCCCAGTGATTTTTTTTATTTTATAATAATAAAAAGTAAAAAAATTTCATAACAATAACAATATACTGTGTAGTATCTTCCAAATAGTTGCTCAGAATGCAAGACAGACTAAAAAGATTTTTATAAAAAAGAAGCAAACATAACATAATTCAGTTTTTTGAGGAATCTTCACAGTCATTTCTATAGTGGTTGTACTAATTTACTTCCTTACCAACAATGTAGAAGAATTTTTCACGAATCTTTCAATTATTTAATGTTGAAAGAGAAAAAGAAAACAAGATAAAATTTATCAAGTGGGCCTGACCTTTACTACCCAGAATATATTTCAAAAACTTTCAGGGCATAAAAGGATGATAACGTTATCTAAAGTAACAATATTTTTTAAATTTAAGAAAGTTAAAAGCCCCTAGGGCAATCAGTAAAATAATTATATGTAGGTTTCATCTTTCTGGTTCAAAAAGATTTCAGATATGTCACACTTCAAAATCCTGTTCTGGGAAATTCGTGTATTTAATTTTACAGCTTTTGTATTGAATTACTTCAGTTTCTTTTTTTAGATTGATATTCTTCCCTTTTGTTATCTTCCTTTATGTGCAGCTCACTGCATGTCAAGTGCGCCTTTTCCTGAGGCTCTTCATCATCTCCAGGACTTCCGGCTGGTTGCTAGTGGCCACTGGTGCTAAGGCTGGCAAACCCGGAAGTCAGCTCCTCCCTCCTGCTTCCGGGATGCCCCGGAAGAAAACGTGCCAGGCCAGGGTCTGGCTACCTCTCCTTTTCCTGTAATCATACATTTTTAGGAAATATAAAGATACGCAACTTTTAACCTAAGCCATTATACTTATTACATGACCACTCACGCGTTTTATTTCTTCTTTGTAACAGATACGAGACAATTTTTAATCTATAATGAAGATCACAAGCGCTGTGTAGAAGCAGTCAACTCCAATGCAGTCCAAACTGCACCTTGCAACCAGGACTCAAAGTTACAGAAATTCCGATGGGTGTCCCCGGACCAGGTCATGAGCATTGCTTTTAAGTTATGCTTGGGAGTGCCGTCAAAAACCGATTGGGTTCCTGTCACCCTCTATCCTTGCAACTCCAAAAGTGAGATTCAGAAATGGGAGTGCAAAAATGACACACTTTTTGGGATCAAGGGTGAAGATCTGTACTTTAACTATGGCAATAAACAAGAAAAGAATGTTATGTTGTACAAGGGATCTGGCCTGTGGAGCCGGTGGAAGATCTATGGGACCACAGATGATTTGTGCTCCAGAGGTTATGAAGGTGAGAAACTTGGCATTTTTTTATCTTTGTGTCGTATTTCTGTCTTTTTCTGAGATAGAATTTTTAAAAATAACAATGTTCATGTATGTATTGGGGTCAGGGTATTTAGCTCAGCAGCACAAGCGCCTGCCTGGCAAGCGCAAAGTCATGAGTTAGATTCCTATATCAAAAAAAAAAAAAAGGTCTTTATTAGAAATATTAACCGCTTTGAATGCTTTTTTGTTTAGAACATGACACTAAATAAACGTGTTAAAAGTTCCTGAATAATATCTTAGCTATCTGTAGTTAATATGACAGTATTCCATTTGAATTTCTCTATTTTTCAACTTTGCAGAACTTTTCAGAAAATTTTTCAGAAAACTATTTTCTGTAACCTTTGACTTAAATCTTCCTATTTAACTTTATAAGATTTCATGATAGATGAGTCTAACCAAACGATTCTTTTCCTTTAAGTTTTCCCAAGGGAAATGATCCTTAGAACAGTATTTATCAATTCAAATTGCCTGAAATGAAATTTTTGGCAAATTTCCATACAGTTTGGGTTTCTAAGTGTTTCTGAATTTGTCACCCTTTGAGTATTGAGAGAATGTACTAACCAGACTAGAGGCGTTAGATAATAAATTAACATGCACCGTATTTAGTTAGCTGTCTTTGAAAGTAGTAGCAGTGCTGTGGTGGGAAGTTATTGTACTGTGGTTGGCTTTTTGTGCTCTTGATGGTTAAATAAAATCAGTGTATTTCATCTTCTTCTATCCTGGCCAGTGTGCATTCTCTGGAAACTGTTACAAAAGAAAACAAAAATAAAAAAGAACTTGAAGCCATGTATAAAGGCTGGTCTTTTGAGTCAGGTGATAGTGTCACCCCATTTCAAGTTTGGACACTTAGTTATTGTTAAGTGTTATCTAAGACAACCCTCAAGGTCAGAGCAGAGCCTCCTTTAGGGACAACATTTATGTATTTTCAAAATTTCTTTGTTGCTCGGGCTGCTAAGATGTGTTGAACATAGCTTATCCCAACTGAGACAAAGCACAGGGATTCAGTTTTGTAAGGAGATAATTTGTTAGCTTTCTATTTTCAGGGACAGTCTAAGTAGAAATTGAAATAGGGTGAGTATAGGGCTCATAAAAGTCATTCAAAGCTATTTATTGAACATAATGCCCGAATTGGAAATTTCAAGAGGCAGCCTAAGTAATACAGACTCCTAGGAGAAAATCGATAGAAAATTAAAGGGCAAGAATGGTAAATCGAACTTGACTGAGTCAACTTCCACAGATGGAACAGTTGTGCTAATGCTAATTGAGGAATTCAATTTGATTAAGATTGCTACTAACACATCACTGTACTTGTTTTAAAATACAATGCCTCGGTTCCCCATCTCCTGCCCTTTCTGTCCTCCTGTATATTTTGAGACAAATGTGCCTAAGGTTTAGGAGAGCGGGTGTCATTCTTCAATATGCTTAAGAATCACTTGGAGAGCTTGTTAAAAATGGAGTTTGCAACCTCCCTTCTTCCCCAGTTTGAATTAGCGCAGAACAGGAAGGGCACAGGGATGTTTTGAATCATTTTTATGAAGCTCTGGGTGATACTGATGCAGGTAGTCAACTGACCACCTTCTGAATACTCTCTAACAATCTCCCAGTATTTAAAATACTCCTTCTAGAGGATGTAGACCCTCAGAGTTAACCTGAGACACGTTAAATAGAATACACAATTGAACTGATATCAATCAACCTGAGTTGTAACGTTGGCTGATTCTACAGTTAATTTAGAATAATAGAATCAGAGCTGTATTTCAGATGGATTTGAGAGTTGTCTGAAACTTTGGACCACATGAGGAAGAATAATTACACTGCAGTTTTATGATACTTTAATGATGTGTCTGGGGTGGAACTTCATCCTTTCAATCTCATTAGCACCTGGTATATAGAGAGGTTTAGTAATCATTAAATAAGCCAAGTTAGTCCCAAAAGAGCCCTTTTGGATTGGCATCTATGTACAAAGCAAGAAATTTTCTTGACCAACTTAATAAATAGTGCCCCTAGGGCATGGAGAAGTCTTTATGAGTTTTCTTCATAGAAAGGCACAGGCATCCCAGTGACTAAAAGTTGGCATGATTCTTTCAGAATCTAGCACATAACATATACAATTTACGTTTTGGACAACTAGTCCTGTAACTTAGTGGAACTGATGATAGAATAACATTTTAAAGTTATTTACAACTAGCCAGCTGATGAAAATATAATTTTGAGATAATTAAATTAAAACAAAGCCCTGGTTGGATAAGTGCAATAAATGAAGTACAAAAAGGAAGGAGCTAACATTTCTTGTGTTCTTATTATGTGCTATATGTCTTACACATTTCTTATTAGCTAAAAAGCTAAGTGTCTTTCAAGAACTTTTCAAATCACAAAATCTCTGAAATGTAATGAAGAATTCTTACTCAGGATAAACTCTGAGTGTCAGTTGGTAGCATAAAGGCAATATAAAGAGTTATTACCTCCCAAAGTGAGAATTCCTAGAAAAATAAAGACTTTAACGGTCCTGAAGAGTTTATCTATATGAGTGGTTGGATTGTTAGTGGAGATAACTCTGATCCTTTTGATTTAAGGCAAATTCTTAGCAGCAGTGGTTCTAACTGTATGTGCTGATGTATTCTGGTAATCCAAGGTTCTGGGTAAATGAGGCAGGAGGATCACGAGTTCGAGCCTGGGCTGAGAAGTTTTGCAAAGCTTTGAGAACCTGCTCAAAATAAAAAATAACAAGGGTTGGAGACAGCTGAGTGTGAAGGCTCTGGGTTCCCTATACCAAGAAAAAGACAAAAAAGTAAAAACCCTAATGGTTCCATATGTGTTTCATTTTCTGTTCTAGCTGAATGCAGAACTTTGCACTTGCTCTTTTTGAATTTGGTTTTGAAGACATCAAGGGTCAATTGTAGATAGTAGCTAATGGTTTTGGTGGTTTTGAATGGTTTCTTTTTGTGATACAAATTAGGCAGCTAGCCAAAATTCCTATTCTTACTCATAATCAGTGTTACAAAGACCGGATGGACAAGAAAAGATTGGAGGGAACTTAAATGTCACCTGCATGCTGGGATTGCATAGCTTTAGTTATTTTCAACCTAATGCTTTGATAATGCTATGGCATTAACCAAGCGGAAGGATGGCCTTTCCTCTGTTTTGGAGGAAATGTGGAAGTTAACGCTGATGTCAATAGAAGTGACTATTATTATTTTGTAAGAGGAAGGAGGAAAATGTGTTCCAACAGAAGTAGAAAATGTAGTTCCTACATAGTCTATTGGAGATGTCCAGCAAAAGACGGGAGTACAGGTTGAATAAATGAGGGGACTCTCCAGTGTAGGTACCCCAAGTATGTTTAAAAGAGCAAGTCTTACATCAAAACGATTAGAGAAGCTCAGAGTTATCTCCACTGACAATCCAATCATCAATAAATTCTTCAGAAAGTTAAAGTCTTTATTTTTCTAGGAATTCTCACTTTGGGAAAAGATAACTCTTTACGTTGGTTTTATGCTACCAGTTGACATTCAGAGCTTATCCTAAGTAAGAATTCTTAATTACATTTCAGAGATTTTGTATGTTTAAAAGAGCAAGTCTTATAGACTCTTTACAGGAAATTCAGTGTTTAAATTCAGAATCACTCTGATTCTAACTGCAAATTATTTCCATAGCCGTATACACGCTGCAGGGCAATGCAAATGGAGCCCCCTGTGCTTTTCCCTTCAAGTTTGGAAACAAGTTGTATGCAGACTGCACAAATGCTGGCCGGTCAGATGGGTGGCTCTGGTGCGCGACCACCGCAGACTACGACACTAATAAGCTGTTTGGATTTTGTCCTACGAAATGTAAGTAACCATTTAACAAGAAAAGTCTGACACATTCGCTCTGGCTATGAGATAAGAAGACCTGTGTTTATCTAAGCCAGTTTCCTCCCAAAGTTATTCACATGAATTAACACATAATATCCTTCCATTACTCTTTACAGATATTATTCTTATTTTACAGTGGCAAGATGGCTCATGTTGGCCCAAGACTAGACCAGAGAATACTTTTGATCCTGGGCTCTTTGATACGTATTTAGGTCTCGTTAAGATTAGACTATACCCCAATTGTCCCTGCATCAAATAACCCCCCAATTTTTTAAACTAACTATCAATCATTTTCTAAGACTATATAGAACAAAATATATATGATCAATATTATACTCAAAGCTGTAGATAGATGCATCATTACTCTAATCACCTTCTGTGTTTAACTTTATCAAACCACAGATCAAAACAAAATTTAAATGATGCCTTCCATGAGGTTTGTTGGAAGAGAGACAAGAGCAGGCTCCCATACTTTGCGACAATATAATGAAAAGAACTCCTTGTGGTGAAAATAATGTTAATCATTTCCTTCTTAAGCTTAATTTTCAAAGGATATAATTTAATTTAACATAGGAATCAGTAGAATTGGGTAATTTATATACATGCAGGTCTTTTAGAAATAAAAGTTCAAGTGTTTTTGCAATAATGCAAGAACAAAGTTAGGTAGCAGCACTATTGCTTACGAATTCTTGGTTAAGAACTAGTAAAGAGACAGCACATCTGGTTTTAGGTGGAGTGGAGGAGGGCCCCTGTGTCAGGCGGCAGATCTGAGCTGTAGAAAGAGGAAAGGGTCAGTTCTTTGCTTCACTTTCCCCATCACACACATCCTTCCGCTGCCAGCTTCTCATTTCCTAACCCTCTGGCCTCTTTAACTTACTGCTTCAGATTAGATCAGAGCAGCTCCAGTTTCCTGGCATCACCCAGAATTCTGTACTTGCAGACCAGCAGGGTTCAGGGATGGGCACGCAGTGTGGTCCAGGATGGTGGCAGTGGCATCACTTACTGCTACATTTTATCACCACAGTTCTACACATAAATGTGTACCTTCATTTGTCAAATTGAAGTCAGGCTCCTAGAACTTTTCATTCTTATCTCTTGGGATTGGTCACTCCTAATCATCCCACTAAAAGTAAATTTCAATTCTGACCATTATAATTGTCTTCTTTAGGCAGTCACTGTACTCTGGATAAATGCCCATAAACATGACAGGTTTTTGGTTGATTATGACACTACTCCTGGTCTTGGACAGATGCATGTGCTGATTTTCTGTCAACATTTAGAGATTTGGTTACAATTAAAGTTTTGTTTTGGTTATAATTACAGGTTTAATTTTTCCATGAGAGAACTTTATGTCAGGAAAACATAGTATGCTTTCCTGTCTTTTAAAATTTAAAAGATATAAAGGGATAGCGATTGAAGAGTGTCATTCTCTCACTTAATAGGAATGATATATTTTATATCTAGAAGGGAATAAGAGAATGTATTTCTTGGGTTTGAGTATAGCACCCCCATTTAAGTGGTATTGACAAGGAAATAGTGGGGAAATGTGTGATTTAATGAATGAAATGGGATGATAAAGGGTAAACTGCTGATCACAAAGAAAACTCACAACCTTGGAGATCCTAAAACAATTTCCCCTGCAAAGAGGGGGGCAGTTTACTAGTAGAATAATTTTTTTTCTATATTCACTTACTTATTTATGTATTATTAGTATATGTTTTTATAGTCAGAGTAATTTTTATTCTTGTTTCTTCTAAGTTAGGTCTTCAGAATCAAATTATGCACTTTTTTCTGTTAAATGTGAAAGTGAAATACCTAAACAAACTGTTTAATTTCACATTTAAATTTAAAGCACAGTTTATAAATTTCATGCCAAAAGGTTTGTAATTTTACAATCTCTTTCATTTTGTATTAGCTTAAAACCAGGAGGTTCGATAGAGGAAAATGATATACCAGTTACGTACCCTAAATATTCATGTGTCATTGTACTTTGGATTGTTTGTTATGATGTTTTCCTTCTGTTTAAACCATTTAAAATATCATGAGAACAGGAAGAGGAAAAGACTCTGCTCTCAATTTCCTATAGCTTGCAACTTTAGCTTTCAACATTACTTGGGGTGGTTTACAGTAGAAGCTTGAACCCTTTGTAGTGATGTTGTACAGTCAGCAAACTTACAAATCATTGAGAGAGATGTTTTAATTTCTTGATTTAAAATACAAAACATATTTTCTTTAAAAGAAGAGTCAATTGAATCCTCTTCTTTATTTATATCCCTTTCCTCTACTTCTGGAGAATAAAATAATACTTTTATTAATCCTTTACATTTCTTATAATATTACAAACAAAACTTTGTTTTTCTAAAAATACTTGCTTAAACTGTCTTCAAATTCAAATATACTTTAATGTCATGTAGATGATCTCACTTGTATTGACATAGAAAACTTAAAAGGCCTCAAATGTAATTTAAGTTTAATATTACTAATTGAAATTCATTTTTATGTGAACATATAATGATTTTATAATTAGTTTTTAGGGCTTGGATATAGAGTTCTTGCCTAGAGTTGTTTGATCCCAGATATCATAAGACACAAAAAATTATGAATTTATACTGTTACTCGAATCAAATTCTAATGTATTTTCTTCCTTTTCGATGCATCATGAACCACACATTTCCTATCACAGGGTGTGGTACGTGTAGTACAAAAAGGTCTGTGGTCATCAGATGCAAAACATAACTGAGTCCCAGTTAGAAAGCCCACCAGCATGGGCTGTATGCTTATGGAAACTGAATTTCTCAGCAAGTTGAGCACTTCTCAGTGAATCTGAGAAACTGCTCAAATAAATGGAGAGATGATTCTCTCTTCCTTTCAAATAAATGGTGAGATGATTTCTTCCATGACTTGTATATAAAATTTTATATTATTAAAAAATGGAAAATTCCATAATAAGAGAAATATGAAGAGATCTCATTTCTTTACTAAATTCTCAAACATCTTGCATGTAAATGCTATAAATACTATTTGTCTACCCTGCTAGCAGTGGGCTGTCATAGAGCACACCAGGTTTGTAGAGTATATTGGGTAACATATGCTCTCTTATTCCCAGTGCTATTTGCAAATTAACAATGTTAAGCTGGTCACTGTGGTTCACACTTGTTATGTCAGCTATTTGGGAGTCTGAGATAGGGGAATTGCAAGTTTGAACCCAACCTGAACAACTTAGTGACTTAGATCCTGTCTCAAAATAGAAACAAAAAGGGCTTGAGAGTGTAGCTCAGTGTAAAGGCCCTGGATTCAATCCTCAGTACTAAAAAACAAAATAAAACAAATGGAATAATCTCCCTTTCATCTTTATATTTGCCTTAATTCCCAACTTAACTGAGCCACAGAGGATGAGGCCTCTCTTTTTTCTTTTTGAAATGTATCTATTAGTTGATATATGTTTTTTTCCAGTTTTAACCTTTTATTAACTCATGTTTTTTGTTGTTGTTGTTGTTTGGGTACCTGGGATTGAACTCATGACCTCGCACTTGCCAGGCAGGCACTTTTGCCTCTGAGCTAAATCCCCAACCCCTATTAACTCGTTTGCAATACACCTTTTTTTTTTTTTTTGAACAGGTAGAATAAGGCTGATACTTTGAATGCCCCAACTCATTTCAGAGTGAATAAAATCCAACCAGCTTTCAAAATTTAAAGAAACAGGAAAAAAAGGGGAAAGAAAAAGAAATATAATGGTTTAAGTAATCATGCTGTTAGGATGTCTTAAAAAATACTGTTCCTGGAAAGTGTTTCCAATACTTAACACAGCAATTTCCATTTGATAATTTTTGCAGTTGAGGGCAGTGAAACATTATGGACTAAAGACCCACTGACCAGCATCCTCTACCAGATCAACTCCAAGTCTGCACTGACCTGGCAACAGGCAAGGAAGAGCTGCCAACAGCAGGATGCTGAGCTTTTGAGTATCACAGAGATTCATGAGCAGACATACCTAACAGGTAATATGCAATGTTGTAAGTATGATCATGATTGCATTATTTCTACATAATTTAACTTAAAAAGTAGGCAGTGCCAATGATTCTTGGCACCATGATAGAGATGTTCCCTAAGCAGATAGTACAGATGATAAGGTAAATCTACTCTCTGAAACTGACCTCAAGGGTGGGAAATAGGTCTTATTTCCTACGCCAGCATTGTTCTATTGATTATGACTGTATCTAGAGCCAGTGCTATGAAGGACCCTGAACATATATTGGCTGTTAGAGATGACTGATGTTGTTCTTGGACACATGCAGTGGCACCATGCTGGTCAAGTCGTCACCAGCCAGGACTCAGTGGAAGTCAGAGGTCTTTCTTTAACGTCGTGGAGTTTGAGATGATTAAACAAATACTGCTCCTATCAGCAGAGACAGATTAAGAACTTCTCCTGAGTCCTCTTTGCCTCCCGTCTCCCCAGCTTTTGAACATCATAATTTTTCACATCTTACCAATATCCTTTCCATAATATGCTTAAATACCTGTTGTAAGATTATAAATGTTAGAAAAGGTAATGTTTGCTTGAGAAAAGAGTGTCTGCTTCAGATTCTAAAAATCAAACTTGAGGAGGCAGAACTCAGTGAGAAATCATTGCAGGGAGAACCACATCCTTCTGACCATTTTCAGAATTTCCTCTCCATTTCACCCTGACACTATTAGATTAATACACTGCTGACCCTGTGGTTGCCGTGTTTGTCTTTAGTGACTTTTCATTTCCTGTCAAGTGGCTGAACACCCAGAGGCTGCCAGGGGTCCACTTACTATTCTTGTCTCCTTCATGCATTCTGTCATCTTAACAAAAGTCTTACATACCTCCTAGATGACATTGATGTCTCATATTTCTCACCCTACATCTTTTTCTATGCCATTGAAAAATCTGAAATTCCCCAAGTTTTATACAGTAGAAAAATAGTTCCTTCCATTACTCTTATCTGTTTATCACGTTTATAACAGCTACTTACATACATGTTCCATTTCCCCTACAAGAATACAGACACTCCTTGTTTAATGACTGAGTTTCATTCCTGTGATTAGGGCTTTAAATTGGTCACTAAATTACAATATTCAGAACAAGAGATGGTCAATGGAAACTCTATCTTGATTACTTTGCTTTTATTTATGTAACTCTTAATGTGTAACAGAACATAAAACTACAGTGGTATTCTGTACAGTATAATCAGCAAAATTACAGTACTATATAAATAAGGTGTACTGTACTGAAAAAGACATTGAGGCTCTATAAAGATGTACAGAACTATAGAAATAAAAGGTCATAAGTCTGACTGGTAAGTCGTAAGTTCAGACAGTTGTTAAACAGGTAGGTTATTATGTGAGCAATATCTATACATGCATTAATTTTTTTCTTCACTCTTTTAACAAACTATCAGGTATGCCAGCCATTGTGTTAGCTCCTGGGCACCCAAAATTGACCCCATGCTGTTCACATAGAGCTTAAAGAGCAATGGGAAAAACAGATGTAAATAAGAAACCAAATGAGTAAGTACAGATGCCTTAGGAAGTGGTGAGCACTGTGTGAAGAATGGGGTAGTGAGACAGGTTGGCAGTGACAACTGTACCACCTACCCCTGGTAAGAAGATTTGTGTAGGATCTTTCATGAAAAAGAGTCTTGATGAATGTTTTCTGGCAAACAAATTATGCTGCAGCTAAATAAAAATAATTATTTAGAAATTCAGCCTAATGTTTGGACAACTGGAAAGTTTATGGCAAGATGACTGTTGAGTTTTTAAAAGAGCAGTTTCTTATTCATCATCTGGGAAATTTGCTAGAGTGAAGAGGCCAGGCCTGGGTTTCAGAGATTCTAGATCAACAACTGTTTCCAGGATCTGTATTTTATTCATCCCTTAGGTGAGTCTGATGCAGAAGGTTGAGGGACCATGTTGACAAAACTCCATGATAGTATGTGGTTGAACCCAGCTACTGACACTAGGAGGCAGGGGTCACGGGAATCGACTCTGGATGCTGACTGTCTGAGTCCTCCATCTGAAACTGGGTGGGTGGTGTTAGGGGAACTACTGGAGGCTTCCTTGCCTCAGCGGCCAGACGCCTTTCAAGGGAAAATGTGCGTGAACCAACATGCTGGCCATTATACGTAGTCACTCTGTCTGCTTTCCCAGTGCTTGCATTTTTTGACTGTTTTGGGGGTGGCACCCTTCATCAGCTGCAACACATGTGTCCTGTACATTGTCATTAACTGGACAGAGCATGGAAAACAGTATGACCTCACAGTGTGTGTGCACACACTTAGATTTGAAGGAAGAAATTCTGCCTCTGTCTGCACACTCTGTTTTGTTCTGGTTTTTGCAGAAGTTCTAACATTAAGACAAATATCTAAACAATTGATATTTATAAGCAGGATTAAAAATACAGAGACAGAGAAGGCATGGAAAGAGATAAATATTAATTCATGTAGATGATTAAAGGATAGAACGAGGTGGTTCATGACAATGCTCAGGCCATTTGTGCCCGTTTACAGGGAATACATTTACACATATCAAGGTTGAAACGGCTGCACTTGGCATCTGTTCTTTTCTGAAGTCCGGGTTGTGTTTTCTTGACTTTTTCAATTTTTGCGTGTTTTCTGACCTTCTAGAAACCAAGACATAGACCATAGAGAGCTGTTTAGTCTCTCCTTGCATTGCCTAGAAGAAAAGAGAAATGGGAATAAACAGTGAATCTGGCTGAACTCATTAGAGTGACATCAGTGTGTCTACTGGGGGAGCCAACACATGCCTGGACATTCAGGGCTGAGTTCACCTTAGTTGCTTACTTGAGTCATATTGAAACCTCTGAGATTCTACTCAGCAAATTTTAACTACAATCTGAACAACAGTGAATTTTCTTAAAGAGATTTGGAGTACTGCCTTCCTTTCTGTAAGCCAGAAATATCCTGCAATAAGAAAAAAAAGCCTGACAGGAAATGCAAAAGATAAAATAGAGGAAAGACATTCCATTTTTGCTGAAAGAAAGATATTTGCAACATTTGATACTAATTGGCATGGATTGAGGAAGAATCTAGAGAACAATTGTGTGAGTGGGTGTTTGTAATCCTGCTCTGTTTGGAAATATGCTGTTAAAATGGAAACTACAAATATTTAGACTTTTAAGTAAGACTAAAGATTTATCTCAGTACCTGCCTAGCATGCACAAAGCTCAGGGTTTAATTCTACTAACACATACACAAAGTAAAGCTTATTTTCCGCATGGATTTTGGGACATAAATACTTTTTAAAATTGTGTAAGTCATTTGGATGATTCTGAAATTAAATGCACTGTCACTTATTGAACAGCTACTGTGTGCCAAACACTGGGCTTTATTTTTGAAGCCCCAACCAATTCTGTAAATAAATATTATTATCCTCATTTTATAGATGAGATATCAGACCAAGAAGGAGAAGTTAGGAAACTTGCTTAATGCCTTGTGTTCAGACGGTAGCTGAACTGGAACTCAGATGTCTTCTGGTTTACTAGCCTGTGTCTCACTAAGTAAACTTTATTTACACATTGACACCTTTCTTCAGTAAATGTATTCCAGATTTGTGAAATGATATATTACAGTCCAGAGGAAAAAACATTTCTGCCCATCACCCATAGCCATCTCATCATCTTTACTTCTATTTCTGCAATCTAGGTTCAGGGTGGATTGGTAGAGGGATATCACAGAGGAGAAACAGTTCATGGCAGCAGAAGATGGCATATATATACAAGGGAAGGGAGAGACAAGCCTCTTTATGTCCTTTATATTGTATCCAGTCTACCAGGACTAGAGCAGTACCAATTCAATGAGTCTAGATCCTGCTGCCTCTTAAAAAGTCCTATGACCGCGTGAGGCTATGGGAGTGCACCTAAACACATGCCTTAACAATGACTTTAAGGAGATTTAACTCTACCTTTCTGTGGTTTGGTGGAGTTGGGATATAATTTAGGACCTCAGACTGACTAGGCAAACACCCTTCAGCTCTTTAAGTGATGCATTTAACATGAAGTTTAAACTTGGTCTCTAAATCATACTTTTGCTAACCCTAATTCTACATGCAGTTATTAAAAATAATGACAATAATTATAATAGCAACCATTTATATTTATTGAGCACATACTGTAGGTCAGGCCCTATTTTAAGAAGTATTAATTATTTAAGATCAGCTTAGAAGTACCTTGAACTGATGAAGCAGACTAAAGGATAAATACTTCCCTTAAAGAGCTATAATCAGCTGGATTTGGTGCTGTATGCCAGTAATTCTGGCATTCTGGGAAGGCAAAGAAGGATTGTAAATTCAAGCCCATTTGGGGCAACTTAGTGACCCAATAAAACCTTGTTTTTACGTAATAAGAGAGAAAAGTATAATTTTTGATCAGGTCAAACAGTAATTCAGCTAATTCTTTTAATTCTTTAATCAGTGTATTAGTTATAGTTTTGAACCTGATTTATACTTACTTTCTTTTTTCTAGTCAGGTTTTATATATGGTAGGTATACATTATATATTTATCATAGAGAATCTGTACCTGCACGTGACCTGACTGTTGCCTTTTCCCCCACTCCCCTGCCCTCCCTTCAGCCCCTATTCCCCTCCCCACTTACAGAAGCTTTGCTTCCGTTTTTTCTTCTTACTTTGTTATCTTTCTCTTCTTTGCTTTCCCCCTACCCCCCCCCCTTGTTCCTGTCCCCATTTATTTTCTTACTATATAATACCTATTTACATTTTGGCCCTTATTTACACTTTAAGTTTCTCATACAGGAGACAGTGAGGTATTTACATGTGTCTGTCTGATTTATTTCAGTGAGGGTATGGTCTCACGGTGCATCCATTTACCTAGAAGTATCTCAAGCTTGTCCTTTTTTATTGTAGAACAGTACTCCATTGTAGAAAAGAGCCACATCTTCTTTGTCCATTCACCAGCTGATGGACATTTGGGCTGTTTCCAAGATTTATCTGTTATAAACTGTGATGTTATAAAAATGGATGTGCATATATAGCTGTAGTATAATGCTTTCAGTTCTTTTGGAAAGATACCCAGACAGGGAATAGCTGGGTTTAATGGGACCTCTAACCCTAGTTTTTGTGAAATCTCCACACTGATTTCCACAGTGATTTCACTGTCTACATTCAACAATAGAGAAGAATTCCTGTTTCCCCACAGCCTTCAGCATTTGTTATTGGTTGATTTCTTCTTAATAGCCATTTTTTTCTGTATTGAGATGAAATTTTAGTGTTGTGTTACTTTGTATCGCTCGAATATTGAACCTTTTTTCATATATTTATTTGCTGTTCGTATTTCTTCATCTGAGAAGTATGTATTCATCTCGCATGCCCATTTTTGGGTTGAGTTTTAAAATTTGGGTAGTGTGATTTTTTTTGAGTTCTTTATAAATTCTAGATAATAATCTTTTGTCTAAGAAACAGCTGGCAAATATTTTCCACACTGTGGAAATCACTTGGTGATTTCTCTTGCAGTTATGCTTATTTTCTTAACTGATGCATTTTTTAAAGATCCCAAAGTAGTTGATTTTGAGAGTAATATTTTTGAAATGTTCTTTTAAGAATACTTCCTCTGGTATATCCCCTTGAAGGATAGAGAGAAATATTATTCCAGTTAGCACAACTTGGAAGAATTTGTGAATATCATCCAATATTCAATAAAAATTAATAAAATAATTATTAACATAAAGAATGTCTTCAATAGAAAACTGATCTCAGACTATTTCTATGGTGTGGTCTGCAAACAAGTGTCTCCCCTTGATACTTTATGTGGAATGAAGTAAAACAACACCCATTAGTTGATTTCTTTCCTTCAAAGAGGGGAAAATAGTAAATAAAGTGAAGTTCAAAATAATGTTCATAATTGTGTGTGAAATAACAAAATAAAAGTAATTGATGACATGCATAGCTATAAAATTATTTAATTTAGATGAATTCTTGGATTTTTAAGTTTTAGTGTGTTAGTATATATGTAGTACACAATGTTTGTCTTCCTTGTAGCATATTAGTACAAGTACATAACGCATGTTAATTTTTTTCATCCTTGTTTCCTTCCTTTCCTTCCTGTTCCATCATCCCTCAATCTGTTTCTCTATTTGTTTTGTATTTGTAGTACATAAATGTTTACGTTCCTTACATAGAGTTTTTTTTTTTTAAGTGAATGTGATCATGCTTGATGAAGCTAATCTCTGATTTAACACTAAACAAAGTTCCTATTTGTAACATCCTTGGAAAATCCCTATAACAAATATTTGTGTATTTGGGAGGTAGAAATCTAATGTCAAAGAACCACGTTCAGGATTGAGCTGTGCAGTGGGCTATTTTTGGGAAGCAAAGATACCTGTATTAGACATATCTGTCTACTTCATTCCTCTTTCCTTAAGTGTGCTCTGCTATTTAAAACTACCAAGAAAATATATTACAGAAATAACTTACAGGACAATGTAGTTTGAACAAAGGTTAATATTCCCCGGAAAAACTAAATTGAACCTTGGGTTCCAATCCTCTTCCATTAATACTGTTTTTCTCTGCAAATTGTTCAGCCTCTCTGTTCTTATCTGTGAAACAAAGTAGTTGGACTAGAAATATCCCAAAATATATAAAGCACCTAAATAAGAGAGCTGCCCTACCTCTGAAGCTTTCTTCTAGTATTCTTTATAAAAACAAATGGATTTGAATTCATTTTTATTGATTTTTATATGACAGTATTTAATTTCATACTATTTGTCTCTGGTATTGAGGTCATTTTAGTTTGTTCAGCTTCAGGCTCCCTAATCAATACCCATCTAATCAGTATCCTCAAAGGGTTTTCTCTTCACAAGTGACTCCCCGCCAGCGGGGAAACAGGCCCCAGTACAGCATGGAAATCATATAATCGCTTACAGAACTGGGCACAAAAAAATGTGAGGCCAGTTTTTAGGCAAGCAATCTCAAGGCCCCTCCGTTCATTTCAGCAGGTGACCTGAATGTGTGTATATACAAGCTAATAAAAATGGTAACAACTTTAGTGGCTTTGCAATAAATTGGAGTGACTGGTTATATCAGAAGTATGGAGTCAGAGTGTGGTATATAGAATTGGGTTCAGGTTTCAGCTCTGCTGTGTCATTTAAACTCAGTATTCTCATCTACAAAATGAAGATGACTCCTCATAGTTTATCTGGATTAAGTAAGTAAATACAATGCACTGAATATTGGAAAGGATCAATAATTGATAACTTACTGCTGAAAGAATTGATTGGGGAATCAACACAGATAACAATAGATGAAACTCAGTCATTTTTGTTTACCAACATAAATGAGGTTGGTGTTTTATTAATACAAAGAATATTTTTGAAGTTGGTATTTTATTAATACAAATCGTATTTTTTTTAAAAAATTGCTCTTAATTAAAAGAATTTAGAGAGAGTGAGAATTCTTAGCTCTGGTCTTTAAAATATTTAGGTAATAAAAGGTTAGTTTTTCGCACTAGGAAGCCCATTTGCTTCTGGTTTTTGTTTTATGCGACAGTCCTCTGTATTGGCCTTGTACATTATAATTATGATTTATTATCTGCCTAAAAATCATTTTTCATCTTAGCATAAACATTTAGTGCTTTTGCATTGAATCATCATTTTAAGAAAGAACAAAGATTGATTTAAAAATCATAAAAATTCTTAAATTATGAATTATGAACTTAAGGTGGTAACTTATGAACATGATAGGTTGAAATGCTTTTTAAAATTTTCCATCACAGAAAACTTTGGCATTTGTATAAATCTTATTTTTACTCTCAAATGAAATGAACATGCCATTATTTAATGATCATTAATCATAGTTGTACTTAGATAAAAGAAGCATGTTCTTGCTGTCATTGAGAAAGCATGTAGTCAAGATGATGGAGTTTGCCTCACTTAGATCTGGATCAAAACCTGGACAGGAGTCTTACTAGTTTGTCTATATACTCTCTGCCTCAGTTTCTTTACCTGTCAATGGAAATGATAGTTGTCCTTGCTTTGGATTACTAAGAGAATCAAAGGAACAGTGATATTGGGCCTGATGATTATTACTTCCCTCAATTACAGGTTTATTTTAACACTTAATTCTGAGTTTCATTTCACTGCCCTTTCTGAATGCCAGTTTTGTTTTGCTTCTTACCCTACAGGATTGACCAGTACCTTGACCTCAGGACTCTGGATTGGACTTAACAGCCTGAGTTTTAACAGTGGTTGGCAGTGGAGTGGCGGCAGTCCATTCCGGTATTTGAACTGGTTACCAGGTAAGGCTAAGCCTGTCTGTGATTAATTTCTCTCAAGTTTCATTCACTTGAATATGACGGAAAACTCTACCATCTCAAATGTAATCTCAAAAAGAAGAACTGGAGACCTTCATCCAACATATTCCATTTTATACCTTACTTTGAAATCTGCCAGCTAGACTTGAAGATGATAAAGCTGAAGTTAGATATGCCAGATTCCTGGGTTAAGGACTTGTTTGCTGGGATTAATGCACAAAGCAGTACAAGTCTGTTTAAAGTATTTGTTAAGGTATTACCGTCAAAAGCAAATTTTGCAGCTACTCTTAAACATCATTTTTTAAATGTATTTACTAAAAATTTAACAATTACTGTATATTTGATGTTACATATCATGAACCTTGTTGTGATTCTTGAAAGAAGCACACAGCAAGTATTTGTAAAAACCAATAAGGTGCTTCCAAATCTCTCTGCTTGACTTACCTTTGAAACTTTGGCCTAACTTTGAATTTCTTGACATTCTAATTCAAAGTGCTTATGCGTAAATATATATTCATGATCTGTAACATGCCTCATAGTCAAAGATTTTACATATATATTTATTTATACTTACAGATACACAGTATGAATTTAAGTGAACCAAAATTACTCTGGGCTGGCCAATTCTTATTATTTGGAGTTGTGAAGTATTTGCGTATTGCTGTCAGTGTTACAAAGACCTTAAGGTGTACATTTACACTGTTTTCTCATGTTTTTAGAGTTGGATTAAAAATACCATGTTAGTCATAGATTATAGTGTTGCATACTAGCATAAAAAGTTTACTAGCTCTTGTCAACAATTCATAATTTATAGAAAAATAAAGTCAAGACATGGCTAAACATATGATAACTTTCTAATGCCCTGGAGGGCAGAAAATGCTGGAATTACATATGTATCAGAACTAAAAAGAGACTAATTACTGAATGGAAGTTGTATGTAGAAATGACTATTCAGAGAAAAATGAAAGACCAACGCTGGAACTTTTTATCTTATTCACTGATTAACACCCACTGTTGTTAGTAGCTACTCGAGGCCCTTGATTATGATTCCATCCCCTTTAACCCCAGCTTAGTGGCAATCTTGGATATTAGAAAGGAGTACAATGAATGATTAATGATGTCTGTCATGGGTGTAGGATAGGAGAAAAGAGCCGATTGGCTCCATCTTAATTCTTCTGAAAACAATTCTGATATGGTATTGTTTGATATGCCTAGATTTCTTTTTTGAAGGCAGTGAATGGTCTTTGCATTTGGTTTAAAAATTAACCTTTCTATTTTTTATATTGAACTGTATTAAAAAAGAAAAACTTTGATAAAATAGTATTCCAAACAGATGCAAAAACATGAAGATAAATTTTCAGGGGTTACATATTGGTTTAAATTGATTAAATTTTACTATGAAATTCTACTTTCAATGCATTGTGGCTACAAGGCTGTTTGAATTTTGTTTTGTTTGTTTGCGTGTTAAGCATTTGTTCACCCACTGAGCCACTCCACCAGCCTGCTCCATACATCTTGAAATGATGGCTTTATTTATGGGTAGTAAGTATTACTGCAAGGAAATATAAGATGTTCCTTTTTATGAGTGAATATTTATTGTCTTCCTACTCATTCACTCATTTCAGTTGGAGAATCCCAGCATAGTTTAAATACATCATTAGACAATAATAATTTGTTAGGAAACTAGACTTTATTCTCTTAGCAGCCAAGCCGTACAGTGTTAAGCAGGCCATTTTCTTTCTTATTCATTTTGAGAGCAAAGATGATAATATTTAACCTTTTGCAATCCAAGAGTTTAGTGAGACTAATTGTGGGCTAACCTTGAAGCAGGTAAAGATATGAAATTCTTTAGAATATTCATTAGAATATTAATGAGAAAAGAAATGAAAAGTTTTTCTTATTAAACCAAATTCCTGAGAAGCAGGTACAAGATTAAATTACCTTCTGAAAGGACACTTTTAAAAACTAAAATTAGGAATTTTGTCCATTATAAGTTGTTTTTACACAAATTGTCTAGTCAAGCATCTCAACTGAGCACTTGCTGAGTAATGATTCTACTGAAATACACTTACATTTTAAGTGAAGATATTTTACACAAATGATGAAAGAGCACTAATTGATATCTGAACGTTGATAGTGTTGTGCTAATAAATGTACAACATGACCTACTAATGAATATATTAATAGCAATTGACTAGAAAATATTATTTTTTAAAATTTCTTTCTACCACTGACATCTGTTCTGTTTTATTGCTCATGATATCAATGCATTTTAAAACTATCATTGGACTTTTCACTACCAATCTTTTTCCTTGTGTGCTATTTAAGTAACCTTAACATTTTTGTGATAAAGACCTTATGGAGCAGGTAATGTGATTTCCATCTTTGAGGAAGAGAAAGTGAAGTGGAGTCAGCTTATATAAATATCAGAAGTCACAAAGCATCATTGCTAGCAGAGTGTAGCTTATTTGCCCCAGGGACAGGTGTGAGATGTACCTGTTTTTGGAGCACTGATTTTAAAATTATGTACCAGAGGAGAACAGAGCGTGAAAAATATAGGTGTCCATGTCTACATCTATTGCATTAGCAATGTTGACTCTGCTTCTTTAATCAGTTTCCATTAAGAAATAAGACATTAGCTCATAAAAGTATTCTTAAATGGACTGAGTTGAATATATGTATTGCAGTTTCAGATCTTCCTTCTGTTTCCATGTCCCCTGCCATCCCTTTCTTTTTCCTGTTTCTTCTGTCTGATTGGAGGTTTCCATATGTCCAGAGATTCCCCAGCCTGGTTCTCACCATTAGCTTGACTTAGGTTTTTTGTTTTCTTTTTTTGTATGTATTGACAATGTTTAATATGGAACACCATATAGTCTTTTTGTTTAGTATCTGTCTGTGATACATAGTGTAATCCAACGTGACAACTGTTTAAATTTTTAGATTTAGATTCATTGCTGGGTGATGGGGAAAGCAGTTCAAAGAAGAATACTTTTCTAGTCAACATTTTAGGCTTTGGAATGATCCACCGACAAGGAAACAAATAGATACCCATCATGTCTTTTGCTCTGCAGTCAGTAAATATTTATTTGTGAATGTGTAGCAGAAGACAGACTGGGGATCCATTTATCTCAAAGATGAAGACGCAGGGTGGGGAGAGCTTTCTACCTGGAATCCCGATCATAGCCCCACTTTAACTTTTTTATTTTCTCAAAGGAAGCCCATCAGTGGAACCTGGAAAAAGCTGTGTGTCCCTTAATCCTGGAAAAAATGCTAAATGGGAAAACCTGGAATGTGCTCAGAAACTGGGCTATATTTGTAAAAAGGGCAACAATAGTTTGAATTCTTTTATAATTCCCTCAGGTAAGTGATCCATTTGATGATCTGAAGTGCATAAAATAGTAGAAATAAAGGGAAAATAAAATTAAAGCTTAATTATAATTTGCGTGAAATGACTAGAGGTTTTGTAAATGTGATGATATTCTTAAAGGGCTTTTTATGGGTGGTGGTGTTATTGGTTATCACTATTAATTGCTAATTTCTCTGAGTATGCAACGTGTTTGGGCATTGTGTAAAGCTTTGATGTAAATAAAAATTTCACCTTCCCATGGAAGGGTTACTTTTATTTTACCATTATGGATCAGTCAGGGCTCTAGTGCTATTTACTGTATGTTCTTACATGGAAGCCTTCACAGAGTGTATAAAGCACACCCAAAGTAGAAACACAATGTTATATGTACAGCTTAGGCTCTGGGGAAGTTCACTGATGCTCTCTGATACAGAATATTAAACTGCTAAGACAAAAACAAATTTTTTTCTTCAAAGTGGTAAAAACGAACTTCATTTCTTCACCACTCATCATCTGTTTTGGGTGGATTATGAGTGTTTTACATAGATTTTTACTTGCTTTTTTTGCTTGAGAAACCTGAAGTGTAGCACTTTTCTTGACTTTTAGAAGCAATTTCATTTAAGTATGAATGATACTGATAGAAATTGAAAAGATACTAAGTGAGAATAACATTTTTCTCTTACCTCTTACCTAGTCTGTTTCCTGGAGAATCAGTATCTGATGTGTATATCCTTATGCAGTTATTCTAGGAGTACATAAGCAGTTGTGTTTATAGTTATTCTTATATTTTATACAAATAACAGTGCATTATCCACATAATGGTTGTACTGTTTCTCACTTAATAACAATCTTGTTTTCACTCTACAAATTACATAGTTTCTGCATTCATTTTTATGACTAAATAATAGCCATTACGTGAACAAATTATATATATCTTCTCAATGGATCTTTAGTTTATTTCCAATTTTTGATCATTATAAACAATTCTGAAGTAAATACTTTATATACAAGTCATTTTATGTATACAGTAAATCCTAGAAGATTTGCTGGATCAGAGTTGGTATATTTGTAATTCTAATAGACACAGACATGGCTGAGTTTGCTAATGGATATAAATGAGAGTTCTTGGGCTTGCTCATTCTTTACCTCTTGAGAATGCCTGGGGATAAGCCTCAGGGAACACTCAACCAGTTTTGCATTTCATCTTTTCTATTCCTCCTGTAAGAATAATATAATTTTTCTTTCTTGGGAGGGCTCATACCAGCGGTGGTAAATCTATGGCACACATGGTGTTTTTAAGACAGAAGATGTTAATCTACAAGGTTTTTTTTTTCTAAACTAAAACCACAGTATTTGGGTTTAATCTCAGTGTTAGTACTTTGCAGTAAATAGGTTTTTTGCAGTTGGGCGCTGATCTCTAAAAGATTCACCATCCCTGGCTTGTACAATTCTCTTTCAAAGACTTGTAATTGCTATTTTAGAGAAGAAGACAAATATTTTATAGTGTCACTGGTATGAGAGGAAGAACTCTTTTAAAAATTCGGTATTTGTATATGTTTGCAGTACTTAATGATTGCATTCATTGTGGAGACATCACACATCTTAATTCTTTTTACTTCACCTTCCACTGCCTGCTCTGATTCCCTCCATCTTTTGATCCCCTTCCATTTGAAAAGATCTATCTCCCTGTTTCCTATTACCTACATTTAATTTTGCCTTTTAAATTATTTATACCTTGGGTTTCTTATACAAGAGAAGCAATACAGTACTTAAGTGCATGTGCCTCATTCAATTCACTTAACTATAGGGCCGCAAAGAATATTCATTTTCTTATAAATAATTTAAGTTTATCCTTCTTTATAGCAGAGTAGTACTCCCTTGTGTATAAATATATTTTTAATCTATTCATCTGTTGATGGACACATAGGCTGTGTCTAATATTTAGCTATGATTTGTGCTGCTGCAAACATGGATATGGGTGTATTACTGTAATAGATGACGTCTTTTAACTCTTTCAGGAAGATATCTAGAATGTGAATACTTGGGTCAAATGGAAATTTTAGTTTTAGCTTTTTGAGGCATTTCTATACTGATTCCCATAGTGGTTGTATTAGTTTACATTCCTACCAGCAATGTGGAAGGGTTTCTTTCTCCTAAAGCCTCACAGCAATTGTGATTCTTTGGTTTCTTGATGATGGCCATTCTTTCTGGAATGTCAGTGTTGTTTTAAATTGCATTTCTCTAATGGCCAGAGATGTTGAGCAGTTTTTAATGTACTTATTTGTACTTCTTGTTCTGAGAAGTATATTTTAGTTACTCATTTTTTGATTGGGCCTTTTATTTTGAGGTTCTAATTCCTTTGAATTCTTTAAATATTCTAGGAATTAGTTCTCTGTGCAAGAAGTAGCTGGAGAAATTTTTTCCATTCTATAAATTATCTCTTCAGTCTGTTGGTTTCCCTCACTGTACAGAATGGTTTTTATTGATATGATGCCATTTGTTTATTACTGATGTTTTTATTTATTTATTTTTGCAATTTTGGTCCTAAGTTTTACCTATTTTATATTATAATAAATGTCATTAAATATTTAGTTCTTTGATCCATTTTGATTTTATTTTAGTGCATGATGAGAGTCTAGATTCAATCTTCTTCATATAAGCCAGTTTTCCCAGCTCCATTTGTTAAAAAGGTGATCAGTGTAGGAAGATCAGATGGCTGAATGTTCCTGTGCTTGTTTCTGCATCCTTTCTTCTGCATCATTAATCCACATACCAGTATTTTTTCCCCAGTGCCATGCTGTTTTCAATTATTGTAGCTTTGTAATACAACTTGAACTCTGAGATTGTCATGTTTAGTGCTTTGCATTTGTTGCTCAGGGTTTCTTTTGTTATTATAGGTCTCTTCTGGTTCCACATGAATTTAAGCATTGCTTTTTCTAATTCAGAGAAGAATTCTGTTGGTGTTTTTATTGGGTTTGCATTAAAACTATGTATCAACTTTGGTATTATAGCTACTCTGACAATATTAGTTTCTGCCTGTCTTGAAATAGCAGATACCTTTCCATTTTCTGATGTCCTCTTTGATCTCCATTTTCAGAGTGGTATATTTCTTCTTGTTGTTATAGTTATTTTATTTCCTTTGTTTTGTTAATTCCTAAGTATTCAATTTTTCTTGAAACTACTGTGAATGGTATTGTTTTCCTAATTTCTGTCTCAGTGGATTCCTGATGATGTCCAGGAATGTTAACTGATTTTTGTGTGCTGTTTTTGAATACTGTTAACTTGCTGAATTTATTTATTAGTTCTAGGAGCATTTTGCTGGAATGCAAATAAGGCCTCTGCAAATAAGGATATTTTGACTTCTTCCTTTCATATCTATATATATACCTTTTATACTTTTTTTATTTAAAGAGAAAAAAAGAAAGGAAATAAAAAAACAAAGCAGTAAAAGGGTACAAATAATACAGAATTTCAAGAAAAAAATACAGTAAGATATCACTAATTAATAGGTTACATATTGTCATCTTAGAAATAGTTGTTCAAGTTACAAAATTAAAGCATACAAAGTGGACATTCAGTGAGACTGCAAACAGTTCTGTTCAATGATCCAACAAAAACTTAGTAATATAGTTTTCTATCATACACACTTAAATATACATGCAGTTATATCCTTTAGATCATTTTCTTTTCCTCTCTTTTTTACAATAACAATTACACATTTTGGGTTTTATTACTCCCACAGTTCTTATTACTTTTTTTAAGAGAAAAAAACCAAATGAGACAAAGCAAAAGAGTCAGTTAGAACAGAAGAATAGACATAGTACATGATGCAAAAATAGAATACCAGGTAATCAAAAATAGTTACCATTATGCCTCTTGCTATCTGAAAAAGAGTTCCCTATATCATCAGGTATAATAGAATTGATCAAAACAGTACAAAACAAGACCAATAAAACCCACACTGGACACCTTACAGGACTTCAAAAGAAGATAATAGTCAAACTATAACGGGCATCATAGTAAATCTTATTGCCTTCAAACTGGTTGCCTATACCCTCAAACTTGATACTATGAAGCAAAACATAATAGAGTAAAATCAGTCAAAACAAGATGGGGAGAGAAATACAATGGTTCAAATCAAGTTAAAAGGAAAACAAAAAAGTTACTATAATATATCCCACTATTTTTAAATATATTTTTCCCTTAATTAAAAAAATAATAAGAAAAAATAAATTAATTTTTTTTAAAAAAAGGAAAAAAAAGGGGGGAGATTGAGATAAAAGAGGACATAACAACAGAACAACCCAGGTCAGAATAGAACAATTTAAGCATCATAGTGTTTCACCACCAGATAACCTGACATAATAGTAGTTACCATAGTGTCTCTTTCCTTGAAATATTTGAGTATAACTTCGTATGCTATAGCATCAAGCATATTAAGACAGTGTGAAACCATTCAAAAGAATGAAAGTATTACAGGGTATTTAGAACCAGGTAACAGAAAACGAGCAACGGTTTTATATTATCAATTTGCCTATAAAAATTTGTTTATACTATCACATATATTAAAACATAAGATACAACGTGATTAAACCAATGGAAACAGATGAACAACAGCTTGATGGGACTTCAAAACAAGATGATATTAAATCAGCACTAGCTATTATGATGTCTTTTTTCTTCAAAATAGCTATTCGTACAATCACAGACAATAAAATCGAACAACCCAAATTAAAACCATTCCATTTAATGAATGAAAACATTATATCGCTTCAAACCAATATGATTGGGAATCACGATTACCACATAGTTTTATATATTTTTATCATTTCTTACACTAGGGAAACTATTCGGTATTTATACATGTGAGTTTGATTTATTTCACTTATGAATATGGTCTCAAAGTGCTTCCATTTATTTATAAATATCTCAATGTGATCATTCTTTATAGCTGAGTAGTACTCCATTGTAGAAAAATACCAGAACTTTTTTATCCATTCCTCAGTTGATGGAC